CCTATACTCTATGTTTAATATTATGGCTGTTCTGTCTCTGACCCCAGATAAGTTTATTAGGGTACACAATATTTTGGGGAACACAATACCACCTCCCCTCCCCACCTCCCTCACATACACATAAATAAATAAAATGTTGAAAAAGAACCCCAAGTGCCAGAAACTTAATGCTTTGGATGATTGGCTATTTGGAGATGTGTTTAGGCCATGAGGGCTACACCTTCATGAATAAATTAATATGACTAGTGTGCTGGATAGTTTTATGTCAAATTGGTACAAGTCAAAGTCATCTGAGAGGAGGAAATGTCAATTAAGAAATTCCCGGCCGCTGCCGCGGCCGCCGGGCGCCGCACGTCAGACGGGGAGGAGGAGCCGTGGCCGCCAGCTTCCTGCCTGACATAACTCACTTCAAGAAGTACACAATGTCAGAACATGGGATTAAGTGGGCCTGTGAATATTGTACATATGAAAATTGGCCGTCTGCAATCAAGTGTACTATGTGTCGTGCCCAGAGACCCAGTGGAACAATTATTACAGAAGATCCATTTAAAAGTGGTTCAAGTGATGTTGGTAGAGATTGGGATCCTTCCAGTAGTGAAGGTGGAAGTAGTCCTTTGATTTTTCCAGACTCTAGTGCAAGACCAAGGGTTAAGTCTTCATACAGCATGGAAAATGCAAATAAATGGTCATGCCACATGTGCACATATTTGAACTGGCCAAGAGCAATCAGATGTACCCAGTGCTTATCCCAACGTAGGACCAGGAGTCCCACAGAATCTCCTCAATCCTCAGGATCTGGTTCAAGACCAGTTGCTTTTTCTGTTGATCCCTGTGAAGAGTACAATGATAGAAATAAACTGAATACAAGGACCCAGCATTGGACTTGTTCTGTTTGCACATATGAAAACTGGGCTAAGGCTAGAAAATGTGTTGTTTGTGATCATCCCAGACCTAATAACATTGAAACAATAGAGTTGGCAGAGACTGAAGAGGCTTCTTCAATAATAAATTAACAAGACAGAGCTCGATGGAGGGGGAGCTGCAGTAGTGGTAATAGCCAAAGAAGATCACCTCCAACTACGAAACGGGACTCTGAAGTGAAAATGGATTTTCAGAGAATTGAATTGGTTGGTGCTGTTGGTAGCAAGGAGGAACTTGAAGTGGACTTTAAAAAACTAAAGCAGATTAAAAATAGGATGAAAAAGACTGATTGGCTATTCCTCAATGCCTGTGTGGGGGTTGTGGAAGGTGATTTAGCAGCCATAGAAGCATACAAGTCATCAGGAGGAGACATTGCACGCCAGCTCACTGCAGATGAAGTACGCTTGCTGAACCGACCTTCTGCTTTTGATGTTGGCTACACTCTGGTACACCTGGCCATACGCTCTCAGAGGCAGGACATGCTAGCAATACTGCTTACAGAGGTATCTCAACAAGCAGCAAAGTGTATTCCAGCAATGGTGTGTCCTGAACTGACAGAACAAATCCGGAGAGAAATAGCTGCTTCTCTTCACCAGAGAAAGGGAGATTTTGCTTGCTATTTTCTGACTGACCTTGTAACATTTACATTGCCACAGCAGATATTGAAGATTTGCCTCCAACAGTACAAGAAAAATTATTCGATGAGGTGCTTGATAGAGATGTTCAAAAAGAGCTAGAGGAAGAATCTCCAATTATAAACTGGTCCTTGGAGTTGGCTACACGTTTGGACAGTCGACTGTATGCACTTTGGAACCGGACTGCCGGAGATTGTTTACTTGACTCAGTACTACAAGCTACCTGGGGAATTTATGACAAAGACTCGGTGCTTCGGAAAGCCCTGCATGACAGCCTGCATGACTGTTCACATTGGTTTTACACACGCTGGAAAGACTGGGAATCGTGGTATTCCCAGAGCTTCGGTTTACATTTTTCACTGAGGGAGGAACAATGGCAAGAAGACTGG